ACCTTGGTGGATGGTCCGCATATGCTCCAGTATGGATAGATGGCGGATTAGGAAATAAAATTGAAGTCATTACAACTATGTTCGTTGAATGCAGCGCACAAACAAATGGTCCATTTGCTTTTGAAGGAAAGTTCTTCCTCAAATTTGATAAAGTTGCCGATGCCAGAAATAAGCCAGGTAGTGGAGGAGTAGGGGTAATTTTAGCTAAAAGTGACACACCCGTGAAGGGTGTGATTACCGATCGGTAATTTCGACAGTTGAGAATTTAAAATTTTTTATGGAACTGTTGCGAGTTTCATAAAGAATTTAAGGAATATAAGCAAAGATTTGAATCAAAATCTTAGACCTAAGCCGCTCGATTCGCTCGCGGCTTCCGCGAATTACAGATCAGCAAAGATTTGAATCAAAATCTTCGAACTAAGCCGATCGCTTCGCTCGCGGCTTTCTTTATTATTTTAAATTTGCATATTTCCATCAAAAGTTCATAAGGTAAAAAATTTCGTTTATTTTTACTAAGAAAAAAAAGGTTTTTGATAATAAATTTATTTTATTTCGAAAAAGTAGCAATAATCGTAAAAGGGTATTGATAGGCTTGCTAAAGTAACTAATTTTAGCTGTCAAATACTTTTGTATTTTGAAGTAAATTAGTATAAATTTGTTTTTACTTTTATTTCGAAAAAGTAGCAATAATCGTAAAAGGGTATTGATAGGCTTGCTAAAGTAACTAATTTTAGCTGTCAAATACTTTTGTATTTTGAAGTAAATTAGTATAAATTTGATATTATTTTAACTCCCTTTGAAAACCTCAATTTTCCATACAGAGGGAACGGGAATAGCATCCAATATTCCCTGAGAATGGTTGCGCATTCTCAGTTCCCTCTATATTTCGAACGAAGCTCTCATCGGTCTTTTTTTTTAATACTAAACGTTTTTTTCCCCTGTCACTTTTAGCTAAAATTTGGGTTTGCCGGTAGTGGAGCACAAGGAGTTATGGGAAGAATAGCAACTACTGGTGATTTCAACCTAACCATGTCTTCTTTCATCGATAACAAGGGTGGAGCAAGAAACTTAAGATTAGAGCAGACCCCAAGATACCTTGAGAACTTAAACGTTTCCGGAAACTACGCTGATCAGGCAGGCCAAATGTATGCTTATGGTAATGTCATTTTTGATCATTCCAGTACATCACCAGTTGTAAATTGGTGCAATTTCGAAGAATGCCGTTCCTCATGTGGTGTCGTTTACAACGCTTCCACTGCAGGAGACACTACCATCAACCATTGCAACTTTGTTGGCAATCAAATTGATGGATGGGGTGTAATCGTCTGTGAGAAATCAAACCCGATTTCTATAAAGGACACTATCTTCTATGGAAACAAGTACACTAACATCCCACTTATTTATTCAAGAACGGCTGATGTTATCATTAATAACTGCTATGTTGATAACTCAGCTATGCAGGGTGGCAAAGTTTCAATCCAGAAGTATATGATTACTTCAAAGAAGCCTTACGAAATGATTTTATATGCAACAGAAAAGATCAAGGCCATTGTTGCATACAATCCAGATGGTAACACAAATTCCAATGGAAACAATAATGGAAACACAGGAAGCACAGGAAACAATGATGGAAATCACGCATCAACAGAAAATGTCACTGCACAGACCGATGGCCAGCCCACAAACCAAACAGAAGGATTCTTCATGAAGAAAGTTGGTCCTCTCAGAGTTTGGATGGTCTTTGTCATCGTTGGATGCCTTCTTGTCGTATTCATCGTTTGCTTTGTTCTTTACAAGAAGAAACATAATCATCACCATCACCACCATCATCATAAAGGAGAAGATGATGATGACGAAGAAGAGGATGATGAAGATGGTGAAGAAGAAAATGCTGAGGTCGAAGAAGCACCTCAGCCATAATTCATCAAAATAAAATGTTCATTTTACCCCTTGATTTATAAAATGGATATATGTATTTATTCTGGATCAATTTTTAATAAAATTATGAGAAAAATCAAATCTCAATTTCACATTCAAGTGGTCTATTGAGTTTCTGTCGAGATATCCTTTAAACTAAAGACTTGTTTAAAGTGATAGATGCATGAGTTATAAGGAATTTTAGGATCATCTCAAAATTATTTACTTAGCATTGCTTCATATATATTGAATTTATTAGCATGATCTAAAATTTGTCTATTTTATTAAGCAAAATATAAATAATAGCCAAATCAAAATAAAAATTTCCGAATATCAGACTAATATAGTGAAGTAGGAGAAGATCTCATATATCTTTTAAGAAATAATATATGTTTCGCCTTTTGATTATATAAGATATCCAATAAAATAGAATGATATAAAATCTTGAAAATTATGTTTTATCTTTGAATGACTGTGCTTTGGCCAAGTCAATATGAGTATAAGTACTTGAAAATCACTCATTTGACCATAAAAATAAAGTTATATTTTTATATAAAATTGTATTTTTTTTATTAAAATAAACAGAATTTATTAAATATAAAGTAAATCAAATCTGGAAGTAAAGTGGATGAGTTTCTTTGACCTGGTGACCGCAAACAGGACATACTTCGCCAGATTTCTGCAAGCAGTCGCTACAGACCGCGTGCATGCACGGCGACAAGTAAACGTTCCTTTTCGCTTCTTTGCAAACTGGACAATCGAGTATTTTCTTTGCATTCTCGTATTCTCTTTCGTCGAATCTATCCATTCTCGCAGTGAACATGTCCTTGAACATGTCTCTCTCTTTGGCAATGACGAACCTCCTCTCTTCCGCTTCCCTGACTTGGCTATCGATTTTCGCGATTTCCTCGTCCAGGGCTGCCTCTTCGGCGCAGAGCTGAGCGTACTCAGCTTCCACGTCTTCCGCAGGCGGAATCTGTATAGTATCGGCCGGAATGTCTAATGAGCTTGTCGCGAGAATTATTAGCTGCTGGTTGGCTTGTATGATGTTCTGGCATATCTTTTCGATGGATAAGGAACGGTATGAATCGCCGAAATGTAAGTAAATCTGTTGGAGTTTCTGTAATTCGCGATATTCATTTTGAAGTTCTTCGATTTGAACTGTTGCTTTCGTACTATCTGCAATAGCGCTGAAATTGGCTTGTTGTGAATAGAACCACGTACGGGCTTTCTCTGTGGCCTTTACGCAGTTTTGGAAAATTTCATCTCGCATGTCGCGAAGTTGAGGGAGCATGACGGCAGCACTTGAGAGATCTATGTTCTCTGATGTGCCCTCCGTCGTTGCACTTAGCTTTTGGTCGAGTAATTCGGCGATTTCATCCCATTCTTTTGAATTATCTTCTTCCATCGATTGGAATCTGGCTGAAACATTCTTGGGGAAGATTGCTTCAATGTAAGGAGTGTATTTCTGCTCGAGATTGAGTATTTCGTTCTGTAATTTGTCGATTCTTTTCACAAATTTTTCTTTTGAATAGCTGAAGTTATCGTACATCTTAATACTGGTGACTTTGATCTTTTGGAAGATGTTTTGGCTGTTCTCGAGCTCTTCATTGACACTTTTAATCAAAGCAGTCTGTTTTCTAAGGCTTTCTGCAATCATGTTGAGGAAATGGTACTTCTGCTCAACAACTTTGTAGAAAGGAGAGTTGAGAATTGACTCTGGAGGGCAATCTTGAATTGAAAACGTTTTTGTATCAGAAACCTTTGGTTTTAGAGCCTTTATTTGTGCACGGATGTTATCAATGTCCGCCAATTTATGGGAAAGAGCGCCAACAACACCTCGTAAGTGTAAAATTTCTTGAGATAATTCTGCAGCTTCGAGTTCTTTTCTGATTCTTTCATCGAATTCAGGAGGAATGTTGATTGCAGGTGTTGGTGTTTGAGGTACATTTGTTGGTAATCTCGTCGTAACTGGTTTTCCTTGAATTTCATCGCCAATCATGAATTCTTTCAGTTTAACGTATTGAGAAAGAGGTCTGACAGACCTTGGCTCAATTCTTTCTATCTCGTTTTTCATTATATTGCTAACAGCTGTTTCCATTGATCTGTAGACGTATTTTATATGGCCACCGAGTTGTTCAACTTCGGTTTTAGTGGCAGCGGAATCGCACTGTTCGACAAATGTGACAAAAGGATTAGCATTGATGCCATAATTGAAAATATAATCGAGTAAAAAGAGGTCAAACGTTATTATTTCGGCGGCACCCATGATGTTTACGCACTCTGTACCAAGTTTTTTGGATTTTTCTTGGTTTTGATCTATGATTTTTTCCAAATTTTTGAGGCGATTCTGAACTTTTATGATTTCGGCGTAGACTTCATCTGGAGGCGTATAGTCTACAATTGGAGGAGCTTCCTGGTCAGGTTGACCATAGTTTCGAAGAAAAGTTGATGGCGGATTGCTCATTTTGTGAAATCAGTATTGTCACTTTTTTAAGAGTCTTTGTTGCAATTACATGAGTAGTTATATTAATTAGCGGCCATCTGGCTATCATTATTAATTCCATCCCAACAACATCCTGAGTGTTTAATAGTTTTTGTTCAAGTTTAGAAATAAAATTGAAAAAATAAATAATATTAATAATATCATGATTTTTTTGAAGACAATAGCTAAGTTTGCTTGTGTAGTACTCATTTTCATAAGATCATCGGGTTTTAGCATTAATAAATTTGAGATGATATTTAATATTTCAAATATAGTTAAAAATTCTATAGTTATGTAATTCAAATAATAGCTCTTTATATAAATATTTTATTGGTTTTCGATTATTTTACATATTTCATTCCTCTTTTTTATCTTCTGTCTTTTCTTCCTTAGTTTCTTCTTTTGCTGGTTCCTCAGTTGCTAGTTTAGTCTCAGCTGGTGTTGCATCCTTTGGTGTCTCGGCTGGTTTGTTACGAACGATTAAATCACGAATTGGTAAGAATTCTGGTTTGAGATCCAGATGTTTATGATCAAGTCCATAAGAATCACGCTTGCTTCTGAGGATTCCTTCCTTAACTAACTGCTTAACAGTAGATTTAAGGAGATTTTTGAATTTTTTATTATCTCCATCTTTGAAATAGTCGTAGAAGTATGCGAGAATTGCATTCATGCTAACTAATGGTGCATCTTCTTGCATTCTTGCACCAATTGCTTCAATAACGATCTCTCTATAGGTTAAACCTGATTCTTCGTCACGAGTAAGTGTTTTATCAGCAAGTTCTTTCTCTTTTGCAAGTTTTCTTTCTGCTGCTTCCTTTTCAGCTTGAGCAATCATCTCTTCTTGTTCTTTTCTGCGTTTTTCTTCTTCCATTTCTTTGAGATGTTGTTTCATCTTTGCTTCGTATTCAATGAGGAACTTGTTTCTAACGTACGGTTCTTTAACACGATTTGCTGCTTCTTCCATCCTTTGTTTCTTTGTTTTACGATTTAATTTCTTTCTTTCTGCCTTTGTTAACTTCTTTTCTTCTGGTTGCTTGTTTTCTTCTGTTGTAGTTTCGACTTTTTCAGCAACTTCTGTGCTCATTTTTTAAAAATTTTGTGTTTTTTACTTGGAGACATTTTTGGCACTTTTCAAATCAGTAAATGATGAAAAGATATCGATTTTTACTAGAATAAATGGATTACATTTTATTTGTTGTTACATAATTTAATTCCAAATTTCTTTTTCATATGTAATTTCTTACAAGACGTTCAATCATTTGCCTATCACCTTTATCTGATGCGCCTTTGAAGAGATGTTTGTCCAAATATATTGTTATTGTGTCATTTCATAGTTATGAACTTAATTTAACATTAATCAAATTGTGGAAATGGTTTTACACATGTATAACATAAAAAAAAAAAAAAAAAAAAGGTAGTGGGGCTTCCAGGCACTTCGTGCCTTCTAGCCCTGAAGATGTTTAGTATAAATGAAGTTTTGAGGACATACATGACTGTGAGTTTTATTTACGACAAGATAGAATATGAGAGAGGTCCTATAAACCGGACAAGTAAGGGTCATATAAACATCTGTCATTTTACTCAGAATTTTACTCAGAATTCAATAAAAATATATTTTAGGGTAGAAGGTTAGATATAACCTCTTTTCTAACCTCTTTTCTACCCTCTTGAATTTGTCAAGATTTCTTCGTAAATGTTTTGTCACTTTTCTGTCACTTTTCAGGAAAAAAACATTTTTATTGTATATAAAATGAATTTTACAAAACCACCGTTACCCTTCTTTGGAAATAAGAGTAGATGTAAAGATATTCTATTGAGAGAACTTAAGAAACTACCGAATGGTCTAACATTTGTAGATTTGTTCGGTGGAAGTTTCTATATATCCCATTGTGCCATACTGTATTTCCTGACTCAAAGATTATATGCAATGACTTCGACAACTATATGGACCGTCTCAAACATATTCCAGACACAAACAATATATTGAAAGCGTTAAAAAAAAGATACCTATAGGTAAGATGGAACGTATACCATTAGATAAGAAAAATATTGTGAGAGAGGTTTTGAAAAAAGCAGAATATATAGACTGGGATAGTATATCTGCTAGACTATTATATAGTGGTGCTATAAGAGTTCATGACATTGAAACACTTATGTCAAAAGTTTTATATCTTAACTATACAAATGTTTTCAAAGAGGACATAGAAAAATATATTGAGGGTATAGAGTTTGTGAGATGTCATTGGACAGAGTTGTATGAAAAATATAAAGACAAGGAAAATGTTTTCTTTATAGTGGACCCACCGTTCTATAACACATGGGATTTTCAATACCAAGTAGACTGGACTTTGAGAGACTCTTTAGAAACTTTAGACGTTTTACATAACCATCCATGCTTTTACTTTACATCCGATAAAAGTGGTTTGGAAAGTGTCATGAGATGGTTAGAGGACATACATGACTATGAGTTTAGATACGATAAGATAGAATATGAGAGAGGTCCTATAAACTGGAGAAAGTGTCATAACAAAGAAATTTTACTAGTAAGTAAATGTGGTTTGAAATAGGACTACTTGTTTTAGGTTTTTTCCATTGTGTCATTTACTTATTTGACGTGGCAGAAAGATATAGAGAATATGAAGATGAACCAATGCCTGCAAATGTTCAGTATATGTACTCGTAAGAGATATTTTTATCTAATATTAAATGGACGCACAGAACTTAGCGAATGCACAGCAACCTGGACAACCAAACCCAGAGAATATTCCAAATGAAGTTAGAATACAAACTGCAATGGCAAACTATGGTCAAGTGCCAACAGATGTACAAATGCAAACTGCCATGTCAAATGACGCTGCGTTAGGTTTGCCACCATGGTATGCAAATATGAGATGGAAAGAGTTTTATACAAACCCTGAAGTGGGATATAAACAACTTTATGCAGATGACGCGAACACAGGAGTTGACCCAGAATATGTTTTCTACCAGAGGAGAAACAGAATGTATGAGCTCCAGTTAAAGAATGCTATGGAACTCAACAGGAAACGTAAGAGACTAGGCGGACATTAGATTTTTACATATAGTAAAATGGGTTTCTTTGGAAGAATAGGAAACTTCTTTCGAAATGTTGGAAGAGGTATATGGAATGGAATAAAATCTGTCGGAAAAGGAATTTGGAACGGAGTCAAAAATATTGGTAAAAGAGTAGGTCAGTTTGTTGGTATTATACCTAAAGACCCTGAACCAGAAGAACAAGCTCCTGTTATACAACAGCCTGAACCTGCACCACAGTCTAGTTGGCAACCAAATCCAACACCTCAACCGTATTAAAAAATTATATTTTTATCGTTCGATAGTAGTTGTATATGAAACTAAGTTCTAAGTAAAACGCATGGTATAATGGAATTATTCTTTTTCTTCCATCTGTAGTAAACCATACTTGAAAGTCTGAAATACTTCCACTTGGTGGTTCGTATAACTTTGTAGGTTTTTCGTAAAAGTCATTTGCCAAGCATAAGAAAGAGTTTTGGGCGCCAGAAAATGAAGCATGAACAATAATAGCAGCTGGGTCGAAAACATCTTTAAATAAATATGGTTCATCTCTTGCATATCGACTGTAAATATTTGCTAAAGGAAGTTCGACTTTCTGATTTAACATTCTTTGCAAATAATACCATGACATTGCAGTGAATTCTGTATATATTTGTTCGTCTTTCTTTGGATTGTCTTCGTAGATTTGAAATGACACTTGTGAATTTTGTTTGTCATATACAATTCTCACATAAAGTGTGCTCTCGGTATTTGCATATTCATCAGCATATTTTGCATAACATGAATTTATTTTATCTTCTATATTTTTTAACGCAGTCTGTAGAGAAGATGAAAGGTCAACTTGTATTAGCTCAATTTCTTCCCACATTTTTCGTTTCCCTTCAGATATATAATCTATATGAAACCTTACAATAAATGGAAAACTTTTATCTTCTACAGACACAAACTTCATTCTACGAAAGCCAATAGCTTTTGTGACAGATGGGTCTCTTAGCCATCTAAGTGGGTAGTCAAAACGATAGCCTTCATGCTTTACGGTCTCTGTCTCAAACTTTTGACCGACATTCGTAAAAAGTTCATCTAATGGTTTAGTTGTAGCAACTCTTGAATTTTCTTTTTCTATTGGAAGCATATTTTATCTAGAATAAAAATGTCGAAAGAAACAGCGTCTATGAGAGAAATACAACACAACCGACAACTCATTATGCAAGCTCTAAATAAGAACACAACAAACTTTTCAAACTATTCTAAGATATCTGAGTCATTGAAAGAAGGAAACTTAAAACTGACGATAAACCCAATGACAGACGAGTTTCTGTTTCAAGACAGTAAGAACCATACTGTTTGTATAAATCCAACAAAAAGAACTTTAAACGAGAAACCTATAGATGAACTTCTTTTGAAGGCAGATATTGACAACAAAGCTGACAAAGAGTATGTCATTGAAAAAGTTCAAGAAGAACATGACAGAGCAGATGCAACATATGCAACGAAAGAACATACTCATCCTGAACTAGCAGATAAAACATATGTTGACAATAAAATGTCAAGTGAAGTGACAAGAGCTGACAAAGAATATTCTAAAAAGACTCATACACATACCATTGCAAATATTACAAACTTACAAGAAACCTTAAACAGGAAAAGTGACGTTGGACATACACACGATTTCTTCGCAACTGTTGGTATAGAAAATATTGCAGGAACGGTTGAAGAACCTGATGGAACTGGTGGGGATGTATTAAATTGGAAACCTCCTAACTTTCCACAAGGTTTAACATCGGAGGATGACATAACAACGATGAAAGACATTAAATGTAGAAATGTCTATGTCATGGAGGATGAAAACAAAGTTAAATTCACTGCTCAAGATTTATATGATAAAAAAGCTGACAAAACATATGTTAACGATGAGTTAGATAAAAAAGCTGACAAAACATATGTTAACGATGAGTTAGATAAAAAAGCTGACAAAACAGAGCTTCAAACGTTAAAGACAGAAATACTTCAAACACTATATCCTATAGGCTCTATTTATACGTCAATGAACTCTACCAGACCAGAAGTAGTACTTGGTTTTGGAACTTGGACTCAAATAGTCGACAGGTTTTTGTATTGTGCAAACTCTTCAAAGGAAACAGGTGGAAGTAAAACGATTTCAGGTGCAAATTTACCTGCGCACAGTCACTACATAAATTTAAGTACATCTGAAGCAGGTTTGCATAGTCATAGATTTTGGGATTGGTCAGGAATGACAAAAGGTAAAGGATATGATGTTAAAGAGGACGTTAAGTTTGCTATAAATTGTTACTGGAGTAACACTGAGGTAGGAGGAAGCCATACACATCGCGTTTCAGGGTATACGCAAACAACGGGACAGAGTAAAGACTACATGCCACCTTACATGACAGTTTACGCATGGTATAGAAATGCTTAGTCGTCATTTTCAACTTCTTTAGCATATTCGTCAGGAGTTGTCTTATATTTGTTAGGAACTGTCTTTGAAAGTATACCACCTTGAACTTTGACAAGTTTGAAACGAGGTCTGACAATAGTAGTTTTATCTTCTGCTTGCAGTGTGTACATTTTGCCATGTTTGCCTAAAACTTCATAATATTCTCTTGTATACTTTCTTCTATTTTTACGAACACGAATGCGAGTACCTGTCGAGTTCCCATTGTTGTCATAGTCAATAGTATTTTCATATGGGTCGCGTTTAGGTATTTCTATTTTTACTTTGTCACCTTTCTTAAGTTTGAAGCCTGGCATTCTTTCTTGTTTGTCTCTTTTGACTAAACTATTAAATATATAGTCTTTCTCTAAGTCGGGGTTGTTTTTCATTTCTTCGGGGAGTGGTTTCCCAAACCTTTTTGTTTACGGCTATTGTAAATATTTAAAACTTGTCTCATCTTTGCCATGGAGAAGTGTCTATATTTGTCGTCATATGACATTTCATCTACCTCACCACCTTGTGGTTGATTTAAGTCTCTTAAGATTTTTATACAACTGTCAATGACACCAAGAGCAGAATGG